ACACCCTCGATGAATATCCACCGGTCAAGCCACCACGAAGAAAGATGTGCCTCTCTCGGCGGGCTTTCCTTCTCGCTACACTGGCAAGGAACATCATCATGAAGCTTCTGTCCACCGCATGCCAAAAAAATCCATCAAAGAAGCTTTCCGCTTATAATGTGGCCACACATCGTGATGTGTTTAAGGATGACCTTGATGCTCGAGTGAATACACTAATACTGAGCTTCAGAGGCTCTTACTCCCTGCATTTAGAACGAGTTGATTATATTTAAAGAGCCAAGCGAGATTGCCTTTGTTCTGGACTTGAAGACCCCAGATTATCAGATAAAAGGCCCTTGAGCTGATTTGCAAACAGATTAGCCAGGCAAGTTTGGGAAACGCTTTCGACACACCAGCTTCTTTCTTTGTGTTTGAGCAAGATCTCGTCAAGTTTGCAGAAAAAGATGCAAAACGTGACATTCTGAGCCTCGAGGAATGCAAGCAGGTTGGTGCACGGCTACGAATGAATGCCGAAATGGTGGAAGCGGCTTTGATCCTCTTTCATCGCCAGAACACCTTCCTTTACTTTCGCAATGTTCTCCCAAAACACGTCTTTGTCAAACCCCAAGTCCCTCTTGACATAGTCAATGGTATTGTTCGTTACAGCTACAAAAAGCTGCAGGGTGTCCCAGCAAATGTGGCCTTACTCAAAGGCACAGGCATTTTGACAGAAGAAATGCTTAGCTATGATGAGGTTTCGCCTCACTTCAGAAAAGATTTTTACGAAGTTAAAGATGCCATCAAGCTTTTTTGTCACACCCTTACATTAGCTCCACTGGAGCCCGACACAGCTGAGAATGCAGCTACCCCAGTTGATGGCAAGAAGAAGAGTACCTGATGATGTGTTTGAGGCCTGCCATTCCTGATACGGAACTCCATAACCACATACCTGAATCTTCTGACACCACTAGTCGTGAAGTTTAGCAGTGGCTGTGTTCCCCTCGGCTGCTTTGGCAGCACCATCTCCTGTCTTCTCTCCAAGTACGGCTGGGTAGTTCGCAGGATAAAAGGTGATGCTGTCAAATGTCTTGCCCAGAACATTGCCTCTCTGCGTGACCCACAACTTCTTGTGAATGTCGTTCTTGTTGACCGCAACCAATACATTGAGATCCACATCGACTCGAAAAGTATCCATGATCTGCCCCGCAATACTTGCAGTGAGCTTCGCACAACCGTTTTTGGTGCAATTGAAAAGGTCTTCAATATCATGCGCCTGAAGAAAGATCAAATCAAAATCTCACCTGCCGTTGTCTGTTCCTGTGGAGAGGTGGAAGATCCACACCATGCAAAATTTGTTAAACCTCGTACCAGTATGAGTTACTTCCTTGAATGCCTTGAATGCCGAGGAGAGATCGTTAACCCAACGATAAACAGTTGCTGTGGGTGGGAAATGCTGCATCTAACACTAAGCCAACCCTTCCTCAATTGATGCGTCTCCTAATCCAGAAAAAGTCGGAGTGAACTACAAAAAATTCGGGACACTTATTCTCAAAGACAATGAAGGCTGCCAAGTTGCAATTATGGAGGCCTGTAGTAGTAATCCAGAAAATATTGTCTACGAAATTTTAAAGAAATGGCTGCAAGAGATGCCCACTCCAGTGACTTGGGGAAACCTAATACAAATGTTGCGACAAACGGAACTCAATAAACTTGCTGACGATGTGGAAAGAAATCACAGAGATATAGCTTTCAGTTGAACACCTACACTTTGGACGCACTTACGAAGCTGTGAACTTTACAAACTATGCACACTTCAATGCACTTCACACTTGAACATGAAAATTCCTACTGGGTAAGTGACGAAGCGCTACACATTTGACCGTAATTCCCAGACCCTGGACCCAAGAGGGTCTGGGAACGTATTTTCAATGTTTACGTAATTCGAAAATCACGCTCTGTCTCACGTTCGCCTTTATAGACCTAAGCGAAAAAAGCCCAGGATCAACGTCATTGCAGTCCAAATGCAGCCAACACTCAAAATGAACCTGCTCTAGCTCACCTATAAACCTTCGTACACCTCCAGACTCATAAAACACCGCTTACACACGTAAATCGATTTCTGGCAGCATTTTCTCTAAGACAGAGCTTACAACTGTTAACACCTACTTCCATGAAGCTAATCCAAACCTTTGCAATAACAGTGAGTATGCAGTGTCATCATATATACCGACAGTCGTTGGTTTGGCTGTTCTAACACAGCATGGGGAAACCCTGTCTTGATTGCAACAAAATGGGGTGATACAGAAATCGTACAGGAGCTCTTGGACAACGATGCAGACCCAAATATGGTGAGACCGCTCCAAATTCCATGCCAGGCTCGTTACATGAAAGCAGTACACAAGTGTATCGTGCATCATAAATGAAAGGCACTAAAGTGCAAACCCTCGGCGAACTGCGCATGGCGATACTGCTAATTTATGGGCTGGGCTATTTGTATTGTTTACTCGTGTGCTGACACTGGCTAGCTACAGTAGTGGATAGCATTCAGGAGTCGATACATTCCATTCGTTGTGACTTCCTGAGCCCCCAAGGTACACGGAGCGAGCAGATCAGGTTGCGGTAAGCCAGTGAGATTATGCATATTGGCTTTTTCGCGAACGCAGTCGTTTCAGGAAAATCGCCACAAATATTCTGACCTTCATTGCCGTTAAGTAGGTAGTATCGTTTGTGAGACGAAAAAACATTCGAGAAGTGAGATGTTGAGTAACAGACAGACAGACAACCCAACTACTGTACCCTCGCTGCGCATGTGTGCCGAGGGTTAAATATGTGGATATAGCTAATAGCTAATAGATAGTGTGGATAGCTACACAGAGAATAATTTCTCTTTGAATGATGACTGAGAGTAAGATCAAAGGAATTCCAGCTAGTCCAGATGCGCGTAGTGAGCGCTTCCTGCTCAGTCTACGGGTAGTTAACCCTCGGCGCGCATGCGTAGCGAGGGGTTACAGGTTTGTCTGTCTGTCTGTCTGTGTGTCTGTTACTCAACATCTCACTTCTCGAATGTTTTTTCGTCTCACAAACGATACTACCTACTTAACGGGCAATGAAGGGCAGAATATTTGTGGCGATTTTCCTGAAACGACTGCTGAAGTCACAACGAATGGCGTGTATCGACTCTCGCATGCTGTCTACTACTGTAGCTAGCCCGTGTCAGACTCTACTATGCGGGAGCTGAGACCACAAATAAACGCAATTAGCGGTACCGCGCATGCGCAGTTCGGCGAGGGTTTTCACGTGTACATAAAGAGGCCATACAATTTCCACATACTTGTAGTAGGAAATTGGAATGCAATTGGGGGCTTTTACACTCTGTGCGTGCTTCTGTTTCTTTACCAGTGAGGGAGTGTTTTTCAGGCCAGAAACTGCTCTAGTATATACGCGGTCTGAAAGCTGCTTCCCGACGCGTAGGACTGGAACAGTATTCGGCTTTCTTAATAATTATATATACACTCGAGGGTGTGCGTTAAAAAGAGGGCGTTTTGAAAGCTTTTGCGCAATTTCATTGGTCAGAGCCTTACCGCCGGATGTCATCATACAAACACGTTATATACGGTGGCTTTGGCTTGTGCACACTCGTGGCTTCAGTTATGATAGACCACTCGGGCTTCGCCCTCAAAACGAACTGCCAACTAGTGTAGACCACGCGCCGCCATCGTGTAACATATACGTACATACACTGGGCAATATACACCCACTGATGGTAGCAATCAACTCTAGGCGGCCAAGAGGCTTGGCAAGATGCTAGCTGATCACAAGGACAAGCAACATGAGGTACTGCGTTTCATATGGTATTTTTTTCCTGTAATACTAACTAGTAATAATATATATACAGGGAGGTGTGCATGCTTTTGATGAGATGGCCCGCGCTGAGCTGCGAAACTTCACAGACTTGGCCAGGAGACTCAATCCACAACAGGTTGAGTGCACAACTCACATTTAAACTGTGTTTACCATCTGTCTATTTCACTAAAATAGTTGTTTACCTCGAGGACACCAAGAGATGTTCTGAGGCTGACAATAAAATCCCTGGCCACAGTCCAGAAGCACCTCAGTTTAGGTCCACTCATGCTACCACTGGTACTTGGTTTTTTACGGCATATATATGTTCCAAAGAACTCATGTACAATGACATTTGGTTTTCTAAACTAGAGTCACCAACTTTATTGCACGTGCATAGTAGTAGCTTTATTATTGGCGAGTGGGGAGGTAACCCCACTTTGCAGCTAACCTAGCTGACCAAGAGTTTCTTGAAGAACTGTTGAAATTGCTTGTCACGTATGAAGCTAACTTAACTAAACATAAGAATGTATCTTGCAAAAGACACACTATTGCTAATACTGGCTATTATATGCATATCGTTTTATTGAGGACTTCACATGCTGGGTGGTTCCGCCGCGCGCGGTGTATTATACGGTCGGTAGGTGGGGTAAAAAGAGTTGTCCTGGGTGTAGTTGATGAGCAAAGTCAGAGAAAAATGTATGGAACACATTGATATAGTTGCCACCTTGTATTTAATATCAGAAACCTGAGAAGGATGAAGGCAGAGAAGAGATTAATTCTCAAAAACAAAGAAGCGAGGATGACGCTGCAACCGTGGAAAGAAAGGAACAAGAAATGACAGTTGTGAGTGGGTTACTTTTTCCCAGACTGTACATTAATATAATTATATCACAGCCTTCCTACTACAAGTACGACGACAGATACCCAGGAATAAGGTTCTTTGGGAATCCGCGGAAGCAAACGGTCACAGTGGCTGGTGCTCACATCAGCTGGAGGGAGGAGATAGGGGTGGAGTTTGTTATCCCTCCCGGGGCAGTCCCTGCGGACAGAGAGCTGGAACTGAGTGTCTGGCCATGTTGTGACGGTCCGTTCTCATTGCCCGATGACTGTGAACTAGCCAGTCCTGTGTTCCTCGTCTCTCCCTCGTTTGAATTCTCGCGTGACATTTCCCTCACCATGTCGCACTTCTCAAACCTAGAAACTGGGGACGACTGTGAGGAAATGTTCTTCCTCTCGGCACCAGCCACTTCACACACGAGAGAGAGGCCGGTGTATCGGTTCAGAGTCCTTGGAGAGGGGGATTTCAAACCTCATCAGAATGACGGTCGAATTCTGCTCACTCATTTCTGTACGATAACTACTGGTCGTAAGCGCAAGAAGCCCTCAGAAAATCCTTCTAGTAAACGAATGAGAGGTGAGATTATTTTTATATGAGTAAACCCTGCAACTATTATTGTATACCGAGCAGATGACAATCGATATGTGTGCCAAGTTTATCGAGGCAAGGAGTATGATGACACTGTTCTATTTTCTGCCTTTCTTCACCATGAGTTGTATTTCACTGTAAGTGTGATAACCAAACAAACAGGCAGGGTATGTGTATTTTTCTCACTTCCCAGAAACTGCAAAAGTTTGTGAAGGAGAACTTCTCTTCTAGGCTTTTCTCGCTTTCTTTCGAGCCAATCAGCCTTCTAGAGGACAAAGTAGCGCTAAAGTGGCCCTTTGATATGGGATGGCAAATATACTCTGACAAGGAACCTTGTGAGGTTAGTAGTGCTTGCTGTACATAATCCCAATCATTGTGAAGGTTTTATAATAATTATGCAGCTAACCAAAGAAATGATGGACTCCAGTAATAGCTTCCCATATCCTCCGACAATCAAGCTGGATATCGAGAGAGACCCTAATTCAAGTTTTCAGTCCACTAGAATTCTTGTGGAGATATTGGGTATCACAGAGTGGGGAAGGAAATACACACTGAAGCCAAAGCAAGGTTAGCTGTATGCACAATGTCATACATTATTCTCTGGTTTTCATGGCAACAGTGCAAATAACAGGATTCTACTCCCTGTAGGCACCAGTCCATGTTATTCGCTATCATCAAATTCTTCTGGTCCATTCAGTCCACCGCTCCAGTCCCCACAGACTCCCCTACACAGTCACTTGCAACATCACGTTCACTTTCAAGCTCTTCCTCTCTCTCAGACACTGCCACTGGAGCTCCAAAACTTGATGATGTAATCAGTCGTAAGTCCCTTGCAGAAATAGCAAAGAAAATCACCAGCTGGAAACCTCTGGGGCCATACCTGGACCTCAGTAGACAACAGGAAGAGGAGATTGCACAGAAATACAAGGACAACCTCGGAATGCAGAAACGAGAGTGTCTGGAGGTGTGGAAGGAGGTAAAGGGAGAAGGGGCCACGTACAAAGCCCTCATCTCAGCAGTAGAGGAAGCAGAAGACATGCAGTTGGCAGGCTATGTGAGGTCACTTCTAGAGAAATGAACCACCATTGCAAATGTCTAGCGTTACATGTGTACACAGAAGTCTCTGAATCCTGTGGCGGCTCATTTGAGCACACGTCACGTGCATCACACATGTTGAATTCCCTATGGCGCCGTATATACGCATGCACACTCTGACTCTGGCGCCGGCCTCTAAATCAGGAATTGATGTTGAGGAGACACCAGAGCTTCAAGGCCCACCAGAGCCTCATACGTTGTATAAAAACAATTATTAAAGATGGGAAACTTTGCCTCAACATCGATGGTGGCGTGGAGAACGGGGAGATGTGGCTTACTTCGGTGTCTAGGATGCTTGCCGCCCGGATGGATCATGATCGGAGCCGAACCTCGTCTAGGCCTAGGGCATCGACAGACTCAACCAATTGATGCCCTAGTCTCCTAGCCCTAGTGAGTCTACGCCCCGCCCCACCCTGCTCTAAAGATAGGGAGGGGTGGGGGTTGGGCCTATCGGTAGAATTATTGCTTGAAGTGTTGGTAAAGCTCGAAGAAAAGTTGCTGGAAAGTGGGTAAAGAAGCGACAAGCGAATGTGTTGTGATAACTAAGTACGGTAGTACTCAGTGATCCCCTCACCCCCCAGAAAAGTCAAGGAACCGGATCTTCTCCATCTTCAGTTGTAAAGAAGGGGCGCCCAGCATGTTCCGAGAGCTGAAGGCCAATGTGGCAGAGTTCGTGGAGAATACTACCATGTCTGATTTAGTGGAGGTGCTGGAGGAGGAACAAGTGCTCGACAGACTCAAATCCGCTATTTTGGGACCGTTTATGATGCGGATGCGTCTCGGATCGGAGAGTACTAAACAGCAGTGCGGACAGAACCGCATGCGCAGAACGAATGCGGTCGGTGTGCGTGGCGAGCGCGCGAGGAGGGGCGGTGAAAAGGAAAGAGAGAGAGAGGGCTGTGTTTGTTTGAGGCCTGCTTGCTTTACATCAATCTGCGGCCATGAGCACCAACCTAGACCCATCTGGTAGGTCGATAGCCCGAGATAAACCTAGAGTTGATTGCTGGTCTAAACCCACTTTGTAGATGTGCAGACAGTTTTGGATGTATTACTGGAAGCCGAGTTTTTACCTCGTCTCTGGAGAACCCTGGGTCGCCGACTGGGAGTCAACGATGTTGACTTGGACACTATTGACGCAGATTTCAAGAGTGACGGCGTCGAGCGTTGTCTAGAGGCAGTCATCGACAACTGGAAGCGGAACGGTGAAAATACGTGGGGGAAGTTGGCCGACGCAGTTTCCAAATGTGAAGGCAGTGGCGGGGGAAGTAACGTTGCTCGGAAAGTGCGGGAAAAAGTTGGCTTACAACAAGGTACGTAGTTGGGTATAGATGCACCGTTGATAGAAGTAGAATTATTTCAAGTTTTCATGCACTTTTTGAACAGCCGAAACACCTCCGCATGATCTTCCACACCAAGAAAGAGGTGACTCTGGTGAGGTCTATATTGTAACAATACTCTCTGAGTTATGCATTGAATTCTGTTCAGCAATTGGATCTGAGGGAAGGCCGAGCTTTAGCTCTCCCACCTCCCCACTCTTCCCCACTGAGTCCACTGGAACTCTCAAGTGAAGGATTTCTTTCAGGTACAGTAGCTATGTTTGTACCTAGCAAATACTCCATAGGGCTGGGGATTTTATTCTGTAGATGGAGCAGTTGAAAGGATAGCAAAACAGCTGACAGAAACCTTTAACTATATGGTTGGAGAAACACAAAAGGCACTGGAGGACAGCAATGCAGACCCTAGGAAAGTGGTCAACGTAATTCATCGCCACGATGCACACTTTAGTTACGTGCCAGGTGGATTTTTCAGGTCGCTGCGGGAAGCTAAAGATGTGACTGATCTCTTCTTTGAGCTCGACGAATACTGGGATCCGTTCAACTACTTTCTCCTGGAACGTCTCCTGCGACCAGCAACAAGGGATCTCTTTGCCAGCCATTTGATGCACGTTTACGACACATTGCGGGAATGCATGGACAAATATAAAAAGGAAATGGAGTATTTCCGAAAGCATACCGATGTCACCGTATACTGCTCATGTGTTTTAAAGGGTAGGCGCTCTTCAGAAGTTCCATCTACCTACAAAGAGCTTGTAGTGAAGAAAGACTTCAAAACGCTGGAAGACGTCGAGATATTTAGGCAGGAATTGGCTGCTCAATACAAGCTTGTCGATTTCTTGGTGTTTCTGAAGAAGATTGAAAAGGGCTCCGTAATCCTCACCTTTTGGATCCCTAAATGTGCAACCGTCTCCGGCCTGGAGCTAGACCTAAGTGAATCTGGTGGCGGAAACAACGGGGGTTCTTCAGTGGACCCTATCATTATTAGAGACGGAGTCCAGGTAGGGTGTCTCAGAAAAGTTAAGAATAGCGATCACTTTGACTGATTGTTGCTTTCAGGTTGAATGGTCCCCTCAGTCAGATGAGCCACCAACACCACGAGAGCCACTGAAAGAAGAGCCACCAACACCACGAGAGCCACTGAAAGAAGAGCCACCAACACCACGAGAGCCACTGAAAGAAGAGTCTCAGGGGCCAACACAACAAGAATGTTTGTGACTCTTGAAATCATTTTTGTGTCCATGTGTCTTTGCTAAGCTAGTATATACATAGTGTAGGCTCTAACTGAGTTAATTTACTTGTATTTCAGCTGGTGACGCAAAGGCTGTTGTGGTGAAAAAAGTAAGTTTACATACACATCCGCTCTGGGTGGGCAGCCCTTGATTAATGGAACCGCCTCATGTGTATGCTTCTGGAAACTCAAAACTCTTATGCAAACACAGAGATCTGTGGCCGGCTCTGTAATCACTACTGTCTCCAAGTTTGTAGTTCCCAAGTATCTGCTTAATCCCATAGTAAGTTGAGTTTCTAATGTTAGTTTCTATTTCAACTGCCGCGTGTTCTCATAGTTATTGATGACTGCTGTGTCAAGTGGTGACAAAGATGAAGTGAAAATGCTTCTTTCAAAGGGGGCAGACCCAAATGCATCGCCTCCAATGGTACCTAACACAGTTGGCATAGTGTATGTCTGAAAGGTAGAGTATGCATTATGTGATCATAGATTGAGTTTACTCCCCTGATGGAGGCTAGTCGACAGGGTAATGTTGAAATAGCAGGTTTGCTGCTGGACAAAGGAGCTGACCCTAACCGCACTAACAATGTCAGTTTAATGAATTAGCCGTGTGTTTAAATATACTGTGAGTTGTTGCTAAAAACAGGAAGGCTGGACCGCACTAATGGCGGCTACAAACAATGGCCGATATGGTACGGTTGATATTCTGTTACAGAAAGAGCAAACCCGGACATGCAAGACCATGTGAGCCTCTATGGAAATGACTAGACCAAACACTTAACACACTGCTCTCCAGAGTGGCTGGTCAGCTCTGATGGCTGCAGTGTACAAACGTCATGATGAGGTTGCCCTGAGGATAATCCAGGCTGGGGCAACTCCACATCTCCAGGATAAGGTTGGCTCCTACTATTATTCACTAATCGCGGTCAATACTTCATCCTGCATGCAGAACCACACCAATGCTATTCTTCTTGCCATTGCTACTAATGAACAAGACAGAGTTGTGGAAGCTCTATTGGAACGTGTGGAAGATCCATCTCAGTTGGACCTCCAGGACAGCGTAGGTCTTCTCTTCTATGCCGTAATGTTATTTATTCATCTCATCTCTCTCTCCCTGTTAGTATGGGGAGACTGTTCTCATTTTTGCGTGTAAGAACAGGAATCTCGAACTTGTTAAACGACTGCTTTCCATGAAGGCTAATCCAAACCTTTGCAATAACGTGAGTTATGCAGTGTCATCATATATACCACAGTCGTTGGTTTTACTGTTCTAACACAGCATGGGGAAACCCCTGTCTTGATTGCAACAAAATGGGGTGATACAGAAATCGTACAGGAGCTCTTGGACAACTATGCAGATCCAAATATGGTGAGACCATCTCAAATTTCAGGCCAGGCTCGTTACATGAGAGCAGTACACAAGTGTATTATGCAACATAAATTTTTTGTATAATTATATGTTGGATATAATAGCTACACAGAGAATTATTTCTCTGTGTGCAGGGCAATACACACCCACTGATGGTAGCAATCAACTTAGGCCGTAAAGAGATTGCCAAGTTGCTAGTTGATCGTGGAGCTAACATCTACAAGGAACACGAGGTACTGCGTTTCATATGGGATTTTCTCCTGTAATATTAACTAGTAATATAATATATACACAGGGAGGTGTGCTAGCTTTTGAGATGGCTGAGCTGCGAAACTTCACAGACTTGGCCAGGAGACTCAATCCACAACAGGTTGAGTGCACAACTCACATTGAAACTGTGTTTACCATCTGTCTATTTCACTAAAATAGTTTACCTCGAGGACACCAAGAGATGTTCTGAGACTGACAATAAAATCCATGGCCACAGTCCAGAAGCACCTCAGTTTAGGTCCACTCATGTTCGTGAAAGCTGACCCTAAGAAGGGCTGGCTACCTGCTTTTCTACAGCATATGTTGCAAAGAACTCATGTACAATGACATTTGGTTTTCTACACTAGAGTCACCAACTTTATCGCAGGTGCATAGCGTAGCTTTATGCGGCCAATATTAGCAAGTGGGGAGGTAGCTAACCCCACTTTGCTATATAATATAATAGCTGACCAAGAGTTTCTTGAAGAACTGTTTAAATTGCTTGTCACGTAGGAAGCTGACTTTATGAAACAGGAATGTATCTTGCTCTGCTGCAAAAGATACTAATTGTGCTTTTTCTCGAGGACTCCAAATGCAGAGTGGTTCCGGCCGCGCGCGCAGTATAATTATACAGTAGGTGGGGCTTCTTGCTAAGAAGGCGGGGACCGAGGTCGGTTCGAGGCGTTGCTGGTCCGAACACCTACTCCAGCCGCGCAACAGCGTGCGCTGCGGGCAGGACGGAAAATGAGTGAGTCCGCCTGACAACCAGTAAGTTAGCTCACTGCCGGTCGCCGCCACAACTTTTCCAGGTCTACAATCTGTACACAAAGCGCTTCAATCCAGTGTGAACGAAGTGCTTGATAAAGTAGACGATTCTACATTAGGACCAGGTATATAAATCATAGAGCATGTGCTAGTTTCTATAAGCTTACTCGGTTCTATAGAAGATTGCTTTGAAGTGGAAAGCGAAGTAATGGACATTGTGCACAGATGGCGACAATTTGGGGGAGCACTACGCATCCGCCAGGCAAAGCTTGAAGAGATAAAGGCTGGATCGGGTTCTGTCCCCAGAGAATGCCTCACCAAGACTGTTCAGGAGTTCCTGAACAAGAACTACGAATGGCAGGAACACGGCCAGCCGTCGTGGAGGCAGGTAGTGATAGCTGTGGGTCATAAAGCAGGGGGATCTGACACGGAGTTGGCCCTCCAGATAGCAAACGACCACCCCATGAAAGGTGAGCGTTTCTTTAATCACAGTTCAACTTGTAATGTATGAACTCAATTTCCAGCTCCCTCCAAGAAAAAGTCAGGCAGTGCTTCAGTTCGTAAGTTTCTGGATGTAGTAGAGTGTTCTACATACTCTCTATTGCTTGACTCACTCGTCATAAACTATAGCTAATACCTCGAATTGAGGCATTCATGCATGAAGTGGATGAAAACCAGTTGTTATGTCTTTATGATGATGTATGTATTGATTATAGCAAAGCATTTTTGGCAACCAATAAGCATATTTCTAACTCCCAGACGACTTTTCTCTGCTGATGGAGGCCAGCAGAACTGGTGATGTAGAAACAGCAAAAATGCTGCTGGACCATGGAGCTGATCCAAACCTGGCCAACGCTGTGAGCAGTCATATTACCTTTAGGAATTACACGGAGTTAGCGTTAGGAATTACGTAATGTTATAATTATAACACACACAGGAAGGCTGGACCGCACTAATGGCAGCGGCAAGAAATGGACGATGTGGTGCTGTTGATCTTTTACTAGAGAGGGGGGCCAACCCGGACATGCAAGATCATGTGGGTTGAGGGAAAGCTTAGAACAATTATTACTATAGCCATGATGCTCTCCAGGGTGGCTGGTCAGCTCTGATGGCTGCAGTGTACAAACGTCATGATGAGGTTGCCCTGAGGATAATCCAGGCTGGGGCAACTCCACACCTCCAGGATAAGGTGAAATGAAGCATGAGTAGCCACATAAACTTGACACATCTCCTATCATGAAAGAATAAGACAAATGCTGTCCTGCTGGCCATTGGTAGAAGAAATGAAGAAAAAGTTGTGAATGCTCTTTTGGACAGCAACCCTGACGTTGACCTACAAGACAGTGTAAGTTTTTTTGTATCAATCTGTGTTATACCGTGGGGTCCACGGTTTCTCCATCCCATATATAGTATGGTGAAACTGCGCTCATATTTGCCTGTAAGATGAGCAATCTTTCCTTGGTCAAACGGCTGCTGGCTATGAGAGCAAATCCCAACATCTCCAATAATGTGAGTCCGTTCAGTAGCTACACAGATAACGGACCAGAGTGGAGCATTGCGCGGTGTGTTTTGTGTGTATAGGAAAATGAGTCCCCTGCTCAGATTGCCAGTGCCAAACGAGAAAAGGATATTCTCAAAGAGCTGCTGTTAAATGATGCCAATCCCAACACAGTAAGGCCCTATCTTGAGCACATACTCCTATCCTTTCAGGACCTCCCTCTGAGTGTGTGTATGTCTCTGTTTGTAGGGTGTTGCCTCTGCTACACCTCTGATACTAGCGGCTCACATGGGGGCTGATGAGATTGTGGATGAACTGCTGTCCCATGGGGCAGACCCTAACCAGCAAACCAAAGTCAGTTGCCGTCCATACGCATCAGGACACCAACCCACAGTAACTCATACCCCAATCCTCTGTGACCCCTGCTTCTACCTCTATGAGTTCAATAACTATGTACTAGCAGACTGAAACAAATTACAATAGACCGCCCTGTGTTCCTGGCTGTATAAACAGCTAGTTTCTTTACGTGCATTCCCTGTGCATTCAGAATGGAGTCACAGCATCACAAGTGGCAGAGACCAGCAACCACACTGAATTGGCCAAGAAACTGAACCCACAGCAGGTATATACAATAGTGCATACATACCTTTCAGTACAGCCCATTCTATATACTGTCAGTATAATAGGAGTGTGTATTACAGATTGTCGTAGTGAAAGTGGGAGTTGGACCTAAAGTATTCTTTGAAGAGTGTCTGTGTATAATTATAGAAATTGCGATATTATTGTTTTAGCACACCTTACATTTGGCTGACTACATAACATTTTCAGTTATGCAGTAGTATTTGTATACAACCAATTCTCCCTCTCCCCCTCTCCTCCCTCTCCCTCTCTTTCTCTTGCCCTGTTGGTTGGTGCAAATCGTATGCAGTACACTTTATGATCTTTTGTGTCTGAATCTGTTGCAGGAGGTGCCGCCATCAGCCGCACCAGAGAGTCTCCTGACAGCAACTCTGTCAACACTGGTGTCTATTTGCCAGCACCTCAACCTACCACCACTCTTCCTGGACCCCGAGACTGGGAAGACTGACGACTCATACGGACTTGGTTTTCTCGGCAACGTTTTCAAGAAGATCATTCAGTAGCATACCGCCTCTGGCATCCCTTTAGGTCACTCTGTAGGTTAATGTACCCCTTCCCTTCCTCTGCCCCTTTTAGCTGTAATATCGATACGCACACCGCTAGCATACAAAATCACTCTCCCCTTTCCCTCCCCAACATTCACGTGTAATAGTACGCACACTTCTCTAGCATACAAAATTCGTCAAAGGACTTGTATATATACCTTCCCCATTTCCTCCATCTTTGTATATAGTTCTTGTTAAGTTTTGATACTGTTGTGGACACTTTCATTGTTTTACTTTCACACACCCTAATTGCGATATACATTAAAATGGCACGCAGTGTTCTGAGTCCAGATTGAATCACGAGAGATTGTGAGAGAGTTGCTACTCTTCCCTGGTGTGGTCACCATCAGCACTGGGAGTGTCCACCCTTATCTATAGCACAGTGATCATGTGTGTATGCGTGATCAGGAGACTGAGGTAGAATAGCAGTTACACATGCAAATCAAAAGTTTTCCTCCAGCTTTACTCATAGAGACACCTAGTGTGCATAATTAATTACTATTACCCTTAGTGTGGCGGTATAATGTACTGTGTGTGCCTATGAATTGTAAAAAAAAAGCGCTGCAACCGACATTCGAACTCGAGGTTAAGTGTGAGCGTATACCCATTAAACGCACACCGCATTGCGTGCCAAAAGAGTTAAAAGCCAGTAGAAAGCCCTAAGAAGTGTAATTGAAGGGCCGGGAACCAGAGTGGTATATCCCAAATTTAAGTGTGGCAAATTGCCTAAAGAGTGAAAAAAATGGGGGGAAATATGGGTAGGGTATACTTTTAAAAGTGAGATATATTATGCCTTTTAATGGTAACTTCATGTCAAGGAGGTATAAATGGCCCCTTGTGGGTTACGCCATTCTGGTTCTCAGCCTTCAATTATCCACTTGCACGCAATATCAAAGCATGCATCAATATTGCGAGAACAATTATAGCTTGCAGTCCCTCCCCTGCATGCTCACGGTATGGGTGGGTGTAGAATAGCTACACATACATACAGACCTGAGGTGGAGACCCGGGTTTACTGACTGAAGTCTGCTGGACCAGTCTCTGACGGAAACACCTGGTTGTCCCTCTGAATGGGGGAGAAGAGAAGAAAAGTCAGTTATTTGAGCTGTACATGAAAGCAAAAGGCTTTTTTTACTTAGTTCTGTAGTGAGCAAGAGCGTGATTTTCAAAATAACATAAGCATCAAAATTGCTCAGAGAATCGACTAAAGTCCTTAAAAACAGTTTGGTAGTTAGCTAGGTTCCCTCCCAACCTGCTATATATAGAAAGGCAGGGAGAGGGGTATATAGAGCTACATGTGGTCTCACCTCCAGGAGGTCAATCTTGTCCTGGGCCTTGTGTAGGGCGGTGATGACGTGCCGGGAATGGTGCTTGGCCTCCTGTAGCTGCTGATCCAGCTGAGCCTTGGCCGACAGAACAGCCCC